GTGCGCAAGGGGGCTGGCACTTCATTGTCTGAACTACCAGGGTTTTTCCCCAGGAGTTATTTTTCTTTATGTATAACAAAAGCATCACCAAGTTGTGTACAGCCTCCCTGAAGGCATCCTCGTCTTGATGGGAATTTCTCTACCAGGTTTTCTCCCTCTCTGCTTCAGGATTTTTTCTTCCATTTTGAAACTAGGGGAGCTCTTTCCCTGTCTCCAGGAGCAAGTGGGTCTCCCATCTGGTTATGCCCACCTTTCTCCCTTGCTGTTGCTTTTCAAGCCCTCTCTTCCCTCCCAAGCAGTGCTTAGTTCTCCCACTTCTCCCTCAGTTCTTTTTTTTTGCTGCCTATCTCCACGTGATGGCTCCTATTTGGCTTAAACATTTGGTGCCTCTCTGCACATCTTGCTAATCCCGTGCAAACCCCTGACAAATTCCCGGGGCAGAGCTGACCTTTTGGCATAGGTGTACAGGTCTCATCATTTTCCAGACTGCTTCTGTTAGTTCTTAAGATGGTGGGTAAATTTGTTAGGGAGGGGGAAGCAAACAAGGCAGATATCACCTACCACAGTTTTTATTACGTGACCCAAAAGATTAACAAAAGAATTTAAATTATTTTCAATATTAAGATATACCCAACTTGTTATAGATTTGATTTTATAAGCAGCAGCAAAGGGATTGTCTTGTTAACATCTCATTAACAATGCCTATTTCAGTTTACATCAAAACCTGAAAACTGCTGAAGCACAAAAAGAAGGAAAGCCTTTAACTATCCTATTTCTCACAGGCTGCAAGTTGCAAAGTATGGAGGAAGCTGATAATGTTCTTTTAGTTCCTGAGGGCTTTGAGCAGCTTAAAAAAAGTTATATGACATTAGCAAACATCATTAATAAGCTCAGTAACAGCTGGCTGAAAAGCTAAAGACAAACATCTACAAAACTGTTGAAGTGTAAAATAATGTAGAAACACCTGAAGATACATCTATTGACAAGGAGATGTGGAGCGCGTGAGGTTAGTCACTAGTAGCTTTGGGCACCGTGGGAGGTTTGGCTACCTGTGTCTTCCAGTATGGGAACACTTGGACCACATCTGATCAGATTTTGCAAGAAGACTTTAAGCGGATAAAACTGATACAGATGTATTTGTGGCTTCTACCCACTACTGGTGACAAGCTGCGTTTGTGTTCTTGACCACAGTAGTTCCAGCAGGTGATTAAATGAGCAACCCCCAACGCTCAGCAAAAAGGGACTCCTAGAGCATGTTCGGATGACTCTAATACTGCCACATAGAAACAATAAGTAGGCCCAAATTCTTTCATATCCCTTCCCCTGATGCAAGATTTATTAACTTGGGCTGTATTTATTGGCAACCAACTGCAAGAAGGCGAGTCTCTGGTTGGCTGTGAAAGTTTTCACCATCCTTAAGCACCAGGAAAGGAATTTCCAGATCAAATTAGCAAAGCCTCCACCCATACAGTCTGAGCAGTTGCACCGAGTATCATTAATCACTCTATCAAATTAAGTTCACCACCCTCCTGGTAGGAACCGGTTACTGAAAAACATTCCTTATTACAATTCCTATTTAGTATTACATTGCAATACATCTGGCAACAATGTTTGGTTTTTATGTTTAACTAAACCACATGTACATGCAGTTGGTTTAAGTATAATGTCAAATACCTGTATATTTATCTCTGTTTACCAGCTCTCCTTCCTTGTGACCTACCAGCAAATAAATATTGCATCAGATGCCTGCATATATTATATGCAGCCTGACTCATCACATCACACGTGGTATTCATGCAAAATCTGCCTAAACCAGCAAATAAACAGCAGCATAAACAGTGCATCTTCACAACTGTTTCCTTTTTGGCTACATGCCTGCTCCTGCACTGGAAGAACTGCTGTACTAGAGAAGTTGGTTAATGTTTGCACTTGCACAGCTCCTGGAAGACTAAGACACTCAAATGGCAGAAATTAATATTCACCAAAGAACTGTCAGGGGAAAAGGAAAAGGTTTCCCTAAGGTGCACTGTTACAGTACAGTGTGTTTGACTGGCACCTAGGATCCTTTTCCTTCAGGGGAGAAATATGAGATGTGTAATCTCTTTGTACTCCTGACTTTTCCCCATTCAATTAGAACATTGTTTCAAAGGACTCCTGCTCTTAAATAGGCAATATAATCTGATAGATTTACATAGATGTGGACTGGGTTATGCCATCTTCCAACAGGATAGGCTTCAAAGTTAGAAAGCAATGTTGTCTTTCAGAGGGGCAGGAGGAAGGGTTACAGCCACAGACTTCTGAGGACTCAGAGGCATGTCTCATGCCTTATCTCACAGGAGTGGACTTGTCCACAAGACCTTATACAATGAACAAAATTAACTGAAATCTGACTTAGTGCTTCCAAAAAAATTAAAGAGATGGGGAATGTTTGTAGCTTCAGAGGTCAGGGTACAGCTGTGAGCATGATTGTACAGTTCAACAGTGAAAAGAGGCATTTTGCTACCTTAGCTGTCTACTGCTCTGCTACTGTACCAAGTAATGCCAGGGAAGACTACTATCATCACTGCTCCACTGTGAGCCAGATTAATAGACAACTAAATACAGCGAGATCTTCTGACAAGGACAGGCCAGGGAAATCCACCTATACCTCCTGCTTGGATATTTTGGCATTGGCTGAGCTCTGAGTGCAGCGTACATGAAAAGGTAGAAAAACAAAGACTGGGATTTTCAAGGGGAACTCAAGGCCTTCTCCATCCTCTGGAACAGCAAAGTGTACACACGATAAACCAAAAGAGCCTCTCCGTGCTGTAGTCACATGCTCCCTGGAAGCTGTAATCTCACAAGGACACAGATACGGCCATGCAAATACGGGTTATGCCTATGCTAACAACCAGTGCATGTCCCTGGAGCTCCTAAATGGCTTTTAATCTACTGGCAGTGTGTGAAAGCTTGTGCTGAACCAGCTTAATTTCTCTTGTGCTCCTGTTAGCCAGGAACACGCTACCCTTCGATACCTTGATTTGAGAGGTGAGAGCATAAACTGGCAACTTCTTGGTTTAAACCTCTGGAGATGAAAAGGGGAGGAGCTGCCTGTCACACTGAGGACAGATGTCACGATTGCAGGCAGCAAACATAGCAAGAGGGCAGTCAGTAACAGGCACTGAGAAACCAGCTGCATTTTCAACATCCCCTTCAGCCAAACCACCTCCAACATCGGCTTCACAAAAACCAGGCTGAAGCCAGCATAAGTACACTTATCCATGCTATCACCACTGCTTCCCTCTGCACAGTTTACCTGGTGTTAAAGTAATACATAGCATACTGTAAAATCCTAGTGTGGGGTAAACAAGTTGTAATATGCCTCAGATGGTCAAAGCAAACCTAACTATAAAGCTCAAGAAGGTAATTGCCTTTGCGTCTGCTCAGCACCAGCCTGTGCAAGGCTCCTACGTCAGAGAGCTGACAGCAAAATTTCAGACCGGGAGGAGACAGAAAACAGGCACAGGAGGGAAAATGCTGCAAACATCTTAAGAGGAGGGCTTGTCATAGTGGATTTTTGTCATTATTGAATTCAATCATGGGTAGAGGCCAAAATTCCCTAAGACAGCATAAAAATAAGAACCTGTCTCTTTTTTAAGACCCATTGATAGGTACTTTCCCAAGGCTACTACTTGCACCAGGCATTTGGCTTGACAGGTGCTCAGCATTGTCAGCTGCACAGAGAAACTCTTGACCAAAAGCATACAAACTTCTGCCAAGAGCATTGCCAGTCCCTCTGCACAGCCATGTCTGGGGGGACCTCAGAGAGAGGGGCCCTTTGTACAGCCCTCGGGATGACTCCCAGTGCTAGAAGCGACCTGGCACAGGAGCACAGCTGAATCACAGCTGCAGCAATCGCACTAATTGTCCAAGGGACGAAACAATTGCACTTGTCTGACTGGTCAGGGCATGACAAGAGCCCAACACATTTTTCTTTGTGAAAGCATTTCGCCTTGAAGTAAATTTTCAAAACAAAGTCCCTTGAACTCCAAGCCTTTCCAGACTTCCTGACAAGTGCAATTTACTCTTTCTAAAAAGGAGAGCTTTAAAAGAGATGTTGCCCAGGAGAGTGAGATCTCACTGCTGTTGGCTTTCACTGCCATCTGTGAAGGAAGTAACCCTGAATTTCCATATACTGTGATGGGAATTGAGGTCTCAACTCTAACCAGCTCCCTGGAAAACACCTAGGATGCAGCACGAAGTCCCTTTTCCTGGTTGTACCTATGGTTCCCCATCAAATGGGACTGTCTATGTTACCGACATCATCCCCAGCCCCACATGAGCTGAGCTCTCTGTCCCCTGCCTTGGGGACTGTGCTTCCCCACAGCATATCTCAGCAGCTGTAGTGGGAGTGTTGGAGAAGGGCTGGTCTTGAACTTGCTGTCGCACAAGCCATAGAAGAAAACTGGGATTGCTCACTCCAGATAGCCACCATGGCACACAGAGCCACGTATGCGACTCAGAAAGAGCTGCACTTTGCACCACCTTCAAAGGCCAAAATCACCTGGACTTTTGCACAGTTACAGGTGCTGGACTTGCTGCAGGTGCAAACCCAGCATCAACCAAGAGCCCCAGAGACTCCACCAAGTTCCCACAGGTGCAAACAAAGCAAAGCAACAGACCTTTCCCCCCCACTGCCTGCAGGAGCCATTGACAGCATTGAACATCCTGGCTGCTACCAGCAAGGCAAAAATCCAAGGTTTTCTAGCTAGTCATTTAGGACCATAAATCAATGTCAAAACTGAGAGGGAGAGGTGACTCTGCCCCAGAGGGCTGCAGTGCTGTGGGGCTGGAGGACCCAACAGTCTCTATGGCTGGTGGAACTCAGAACCGGTGTCCAGGCACCCCAGTCACCTTGGTCACCCCTGCGCGTTTTGGTCCAAACACAGCTCTGTGGCAGTTTTCCCTTCCTACCTGGTGCGAGTGAGGCTTCAGGGAAGGGAGAAGGGAGTCTGTGTGCCATGGAGGAGACAGGCTCTAAGGATGAAGTGGATGGAGCCAGGGCAAGGGATGGCAGCGGGTACAGCATGGATGGCCAGGTGAGCAGCACATAGTGAGAGCAAAGCAGACTCCAGCTTCAATTTCACATGTAAAATGTGTTTTGGGATCCAATTTGCAGAGAAGCAATGTTCCAAGGGAGCAGAGCATGTCAGAGAGGAAAGGACTTATCTTCTTACAAACTTCAGCATGTTTTAAAAGGCAACATAAGCTTATGTTTAAGTTAGTTATATGCATTGCTTTCCAAAAAGATGAGTGGAGGGAGTTACCTGCACAAGTGTTGACACAGGGAACACAGCCATTGTCCTTTGCAAGAGAAAATATCCCTCTCCCTGGGTCAGGGAGATGCAAGTGGCTGAGGATTTTGTTTTGTTTTCTTTTCCATCTGGCTTTGCAGTAGGTCAGCCCTGGTACCTTTGCCATCAATAAAAGCTGCGGATGGAGCAGTGTGGCATTACAATGAGCCCATTGTAACCACATATTTCCACTTAACAAGCGACTGCCAGCTCGTATTTGATTAATGCCATTAGGAATGAGTGGCTATTGTTTACCTTTTAATTTATTAGAGGTAGGATGTCCAAAAGGGACTTCAAGTAGGCACTTAATTCTTACGGACTTTTAATTACAATTGAATACCTAGCTTCATTAAGCACCTCTGAAAACCCAATCTGAAATTATTTGGCAGGAAGAGAAATGTGTCTGAGCCTTAGGACAGGGTTTGTCCTTGGCAGTTTTTTTAAAGAGGAGAAGCAAGTTTTGCATTAACTGGAAGACTAACCTATGGCTTTGGCGATTTGTAGACCACAGAGAAGGATCTGGCTGGCACAGCAAAGGAGGCAGCCTTTGTAACGGGCAGTGAGAGTGCTCCACCACGCAAGACCCCGCTCATCTGCTGCGCAGACGGCATTGATCAGGACACCTTTAAAACTGTGAGATACTAAATAGAATTTAGCAGTAGAAAAAGTCAGTGGCAGCTCAGGTTCTCGAGAGAGACTAAGCAAATAAAACCCAGGAGTTTGACAGAGGGAACAAAAAAGCAGGACAAGACACTTTGTTCTGGACCTTTCTTCCAAGTCTGAAAGTTTTTACCTCATCATTGTTTTCCAGTCATCTGGACAACACACTTTTAATTTAAAAAAAACCCCACAAACCCAAAGAAGCCCCCCAAAATCCAAAAAACAACAAAATAATCACATTTCACATACACTGTTCAGTTTTTCAAAACATGTACTGCTACATTATCATTTCACATGATGCCATGTCCTTCGTGGCTACAGCGGTTCGGTTCCTCTGCATCACTTCCATCACAGCCACAAAGCTCCATCTCACACCAGGATGTGACCTTCCCATTCATTCCTGGTACACCACAGCATAACCACATGCAGCCCCAGTCACAGCCCAGTGCACATAACAGGCAAAAAAAAAAAAAAATAGAGAGAGATGGACAAAAGGAAGGACATCCAGACTCTAGACACAGCGTTTGCTCCTGCGTCATGTGCGAATGTTTGTAACACATCCCAGGTTTGGCCACCAGAAAAAGCAGCATGAGAAAAGCAGTAAAGCAGTTCCCTTTCCCGCTTCCTGCAGAACAACAATTCTGCAGCCTGAAATTTATACCTTTCACCCTACAATGTTAAAAAGGAATTCCCATTCTTGGAAATCCTGCAATTCCTTGGGTTGTACAGGAGCAACTCCTGCAGAGTGCTGGGAGCGTGACAGAGGTCCTGCTCAAGACCCACATCAGCTCCCCTGTGTCCACACAGGAGACACTCCCCAAAACACAATGTTCCTACAATGCTTTCCCAGCCAGCTATTTAATCAGTTCATTTAGTGAAAAGGAATGCCTGAGACCTGGATATAAAATGCTGAATGCCTATACCAATGCTTTTTCTTTACAGTGCAAAGAGCTTTTCAGACCTTTTAAGAAGTCACTTAGGAAGCTGCATTTGCCCCAGGACCTCCCTGTAGAGAAGAAACTGAAGTACACAAAGGAAAGTTTGACCACAATTGGGGACCGCATCGATCTGTTTCTCCAGCAGTACTGCAGAGCCTCAGAAATTAAGCACTGGAAGAAGTAAGGGTCTCCTCTTACCCAGTACCAGTGGTACCGCACCAGCAATGCTCCCAGCACGACAATCCTGCCCCTGCTGCTCCCAGCAGGCATTTAGACATGTACTTTGGGCCTACATTTCCAGGCACGGGAAATCAGGTTGGCTATCTACAGGAGATATGTATAGCTTGCTCTAAGTGCTGAATGCTCACAGATTTTGGAGGCAGTTTTAGCAGAGGCCATGTGGCACTAGTCCTGCCCAGCACAAGGCTGATTTTGTTGTGCTGTTCACCAGCAACCTCCCTTTGCAAGTAAAGGGGCTCCTACGTTGCCACCCAAGTTAACAGATAATCCTTCATGTGCTTAGGGAAGAGCAATTCTTCAAAAGTTTATAAGCTTTGGGGAAGAAAAAAGAAGAAGAAAGGGGGGAAGAGGGGAGAAGAAAAAAAGCTGTGCAAAGAGTATGTCAGTGATTATACTTGCCAAGCCAGAACAAGGAAGAGGATGAAGTTTATATTCACATGCACAATCCACATCTCTTTCTTTTCCCAAGGACGTTGTGGAGGTTTGCCTCCCTCTTCTCAGAGATGGATGCAAAGCAGCTGCAGAAACTGTATAAGTACATCAAGAACAACCAAATGGATAAGTTTCTGGTAAGCAAACAGGAAAGTTAATACCCCGCTGTGCTAACTTTAAGGGGATAACTGTACCATACAGCTTACACAGGTTGATCCATATCAAAGGAGAAGCCTCCTACCAAGAAGTCTGTTTATCAAAAACCTGCAGATCTTGCCAGTTTCTACCATAATGCAGGCGCTGAGCTACCACAGCCACCGCTAGCTTTCCCTAGCTAGCTCTGGGAAGCTGAGCTGCTGTCCCAGCACCATGGTTTACAGTTTTTGGAGCTGTTTGCTGATCCCATGTTTCTAGTCATGCTTTCCAGACCAAATCTGATCCATAGTTTTATCTGATGATGTAAGAGTTAAACTTTGAAACAAGCAACTAGTTCAGGTAAAGCCTGTGCTTGCCAAAGCTCATTTTTGTGCTTAAACATCAGCTACACAAGGAAACTGCAATGAACAGTTTCCTGAGAATGCCAACTCCGAAGGGTTAACCCATTTAAGCACACATAACCAATCATAAACATATCTCCTGAGCAAAGGCTGAGTACACCAGGAAGTTCGAAGGTCTGTAAGAAACATGTACTTTAAGAAGTTTATTTTTAAAAAATTAAAAACAGATCTAGCATTTTTTTTTTTTTTTAAAAGTCAACTCGAAAACTGTTCTGAATAAATTAGAAAACAGTGGCAGGCGAGATGTCATTGGGTTACCGGGGCACTGCCTGCTTCACCTAAAAAAAGGGAGCTGTGGTCATCTGATAGCTGGCAGTGATAACGCCATAAATAATTTTGAGGGCACAGGTAAACAGCTCTCTCCTCCAGTTAGAGAGAAAGGGGCAAACCAGCCACGTGGTTCTTGCTTTTAGTTTATGGGAAAGCAGAACCATTTGTTTAAGGCGCTAAAAAGATATTCCAACAATGAGGAAATCAAACCTACTGTAATGAAAAAAAAGACAAACTAATTCTTCTTGTGAGAGTGAGACGCCTGAGATGAATCGGGTGATATTAAAAAAAGCAGCTGGCAGCCCTGGGAGGCAGGCGGCAGCAGGCGTTCTTGCTCCCTTAAACTCGTGAGCACTGCAAGAGGGTGAATCAAGCTCCATTTCCAACATGGCCCTTCTCAGAGGCTCGGCCAAGCCCAGGACATGACCTCACCTAAGGACAAGCCTTGCTGCTCCGCAGGGTGTGTGGCTGAGGGTAGCTCCCCATTGCCACCTTGGCATAAGCATTAAAAAGCAAATAACCCCCACAAATGCCTTCCCATCCTCTTGCTCCCCTAACTGAAAAACACAACCAAAACATCCAATTCCTCATCTTCCTTTCCAAGGAGGGGGGAGGAAAAAAAAAAGGAAAAACCCAAATGGTGGTGACAAGCATTAGTCACGCTGTGTCGTGTGCTATCAGGATGCACCGGCGCGTGCTGAGGAGTGTGCACCAACCTGCAGCCAGCAAGAGCCTGCCGGCTGTGGCTGTGTGGCATTGGGGATGAGGCTGCCTCCAAAAAGGCAAAGAGAAGTGACAAATTCTGCTGTTATATAACGGTTGACAAACGCCTTTTGTTATGCAAGACAAGTAGGAGAAAAATAAGCATCTTTGCCCTTTGTAGGAAGGGAACAGCAGTCGGCTCCCTGCTAGAGCATAAACAACAGGCTGCCGATCCAGGGGGGACCGGCACACTCAGCACAACAAAAATAGATTATTTGGAAATGCCTCGTTATTTAGATGAGTGAGCATAAAAATACAGAATCAATATGTAATTAGTAAGTGATTGAGGTTGTCAGCATGGTAATTTGATAGTTTTGTGAGTTTTGTTAAAGGAGAGAATCTAGTGAGCAGCCACCTGCTAGACTTGCTCCACCTGTCATTTTAAAATCAGGGATCTATGTCCCCTTCCCTCACACTTCAGCTTTTAGGCTGTTTTTAAAATTATTATTTAAAAAAACACAACCACATTTGAACTTAAACACTGGTCTAAACTCTGTTTTCAGACTTACTGAAAATACCAGACCAGACCCACTCTCAGCTTAGAGCTAGAACAGAGCATCACTTTCCTTTGCAATCTGCTGGCTCCTGTACACTACTGAAAGCTGCAGACATCAGCCCCATGTCTCAGTCAGAGAGTAAAGAAACAGGTCTTCTGGGTTGAGACTCTAGAATTTTTTTTTTTCCAAGTCAAACAGTATGACCACTGTCAACACAAAAATTATTTTTCCCGGGATAGCCTAGAAGAATGCCCAGAATAGGCTGCTCTCAGTCCAGCTCTATCATACCATCCCACCACCCTTAGGATGTTCAGCACAGGGACCCATCATCACCCCCAGCCGTCCTCCCAGTGCACCCAGTACCATATAGCAACAGTGACATCCAGTGGCAGCACACACCCCTGACCCGTGGCAGTAGGGCTGAGCAGCGCCCGTGTCCCATTACACATGCTTGAGCCACCAAATGGCACCATCACCTACTGACCATCTCCCCAAAGTGCCTGAAAATTACAGTCCTCTTGCTACTGTGCCAAGAAGGGTTCTTGCTTTAGAACACAGATTTTGGTGCTTGGGTAGACTGGGCTGGGTGAGCTGGGCTGCACAAACAGCTGAGCTGGGCATCCACACACGGGAACAGAGGCAGGACAGAAAACACAGCTTTGCAGAGGCCAGCAGGACTCGCTGCTGGGTGGGATGGAGCCTTGGATCTCAGCTGCAAGGAACAAACACTTCACAGGGTGAGGATTTGTGCAGAGGGTACAGCCATTTCTCAGCTCACTGCTGCTGTCACCCAACAGGACCACGGTTAAGCAAGAGTTATTGCCCAAGCATGAGTCAATGTGTGGTGTTTGCTCATATAAATATCTTTAAAAATTCTTTTTTTTTTTTTTTTTTTCTTAAGGAATTATACTGTCCTTCAGAAAACCCAGATTCAGTTCCAGGACTTGACAAAACAAAACTGAAGCAGCTGGCATCTCTGCAGAAGTACAAGAGACCCGCAGGAACACCCAGGACAAAGAGACAGTCATCACCAACACCTGCAAAGTCACCACCCA